TGAGACAAATCCCTTGTTCTATATTACCCATCCTACAGGGCAGAATGACTTTCTAAGGAGTTTGGGATGCATTAGTCTTTTCTATGGACAGAGTTTCTAAAGTAGTGCACACTACTGTAGATAAAAATGCAGAAATCTAAGAAATATCCAGTATACAGTAATTTTTAAAATTTTCAGGTGGAATCTTGGAGAACAAAATAGGCCTGGCAGAAAAAAAAAGAGATCTTTATCCATTTTGTCTAGTGGGAATATTTTTAATTTTAACAGTTATTTAAATGATTTGTAGATGATCTGATAGGGGTTTTTTTGAACAAAAGTGACAAAATGTGCTACCTTTAATATGTTTTGAAATAATTAATTTGACCATAAGCGATACCTGCCTTTACTTTTGCTTGCTTCTGCTACCCATTAGTCATATGCCTTTTTTAGTTTGAGCTCTCATTGGCTCTCTCACATTCACTTGTCACTGTCAAGTTGCATAGCTGTGAGGTTATTTTAGGCTATCAGATTTTGATAGTAGAGCTGTGAAGACCTTAGCTGTTGAGCATTTTAAATAGTCTTTATCTTCTGTTGCTTTTTTGTAGTAATCAATTATTTTTATAGTAATATTAAAGATTACAGTTAAAAAGATAAAAACTAATAGAAACAAAAATAAAAAAGTTGCGGAAAAATATAAAAGAAAAAAATAAGCATATGGTAAAAAAGTGAAAGAAATACATACATTTCCTTCCCCTTAATCACAAGTATAACAATTTTAGGAACTTATCTTCTCTTAAAATACAACACGTTATCTCTTCTTCCCTATCTCAGCCCATATCTTCAAAAACCTCTATTCAGGTTTAGTTAACAAAAAACGCACTAAAACAGAGATAACAATTAATTTTTAACCTTGATCAGATAACCAAATTTATATTCCTTCCTTGTATTTTTAACAATCTTGATTTTTTAGTGCTTTCAAATAATTTCCTAAAATTTTATTTATTTTTTATTTATCCCTAAATTTTTCAGTACTTAACAAATCTCTCTTGTAAATTCGATATAGGAAGATGTCCAGATTGCTCTTTTTATTTATGTGTATATCTATTTTAATTATTGATAGCCTGTTTTCATTTGTATATCAATATAGCATCTTTCTCCATATAATTCTTGTTGCCTGTTCTTTATGAATACACATTCAAATCAGTTTGAGTCTTGTATGGTAAAACTTGTTCCTTTTCATATCTTTTAAACACAATCTGTTTATAAAAGAAAAGACGCCCTTAAAATATCCCTCAATACAATAATTTATTACATTCTGTAAGTCAAATTTAAGTGTCCTCCTTTAGTGTAATCTTTAGGTCCCTGGTTCCCTCTATTCTTAACCTTCAGAATCTTATCCTATCATGTTTTGTAAAAAGACAATTCAAAACAAAAGCATTTTTTCATTTCAATTCAAAAGTCTCTGTTAATGACTTTTCTCAACAACTTCATGTAAAAGGGGAGCAAACTAAGCTCTAGGGCACTTCTTACTGGAGTCTCTTTAAGCTTGACATCTCCCCTTCTAGAAATGATGGACTGAAGTCATCCTCTCAGGAAGAAGCAAAAAAAGGGACATACAGGTAGTCCTCAACTTATGACCACAATTGAGCCCAGAATTTATGTTGTTGTGATAAATTAAGTGAATTTTGTCCCATTTTATGACTTTTCTTGCTACCTTGGTTAATTGAATCATTGCAATTGTCCTCTTGGTCTACAGGTGGTCCTTGACTTATGACTGCAATTGACCTCCAAATTTCTATTGCTAAGTAAGGCAGTTGTTAAGTGAGCTGTGCCTCATTTTATGATCTTTTTGCCACAGTTATTAGATGAATCATTGTAGTTGTTAAGTGAAACATTAAGCTACTCTGG